TTCTGGTTCTGAATAATTTCACACTAAAAAGGAAACCACATCCTGTAGGCAGTACCTAATAATATGCAAGCCTTTCTATTGGTTAAACACTTAATCTCTTTAAGCGTATTATAAATTTAAAATATTTTATTTTAAAGGAGTGTGCAAAAAGAATCGCCAAGGTCTCTGCAGAAGCAAAACTGGAAATTGATGAAGAAAATTACTTAAATTCTTTCAGACCCAACCTAATGGATGTTGTGTACACATGGGCAAATGGAGCTAACTTTGCTCACATCTGCAAAATGACTGATGTCTTTGAAGGTAGGTTAATCAATTCTTCTTCAGGAGGTGTGAGATGCTAATTCCATAACATGGAATGGTGGTTCTGAATAACCTTATAATCACAAAATTTATTAACTCAGATGTATTCAAGTATCTCCACAGCTGAAACTAAGTGGGAAAAAAATTGTTTATATGTTAATTTATAGTTACACTGTTGATAATTTAGAATTTATAGAAGACTTTTAAAGAGTGATATCTCTACATTTTAAAAATTTTCTATAAAACTCAGAAATCCTAAGTATTGCAACAAAACCTAACGCTTACCTTTGCTAGCTAAAGGGAAAAGCACCACGTTCCAAATGCTTGCCAGTAAGAAGTACAGCTCTTGTGCTTGTCCTCATTACCGTAAAGAGTTTTATTTACTTGGTCAATTGAAGGTTCCTCCTGCTATCTTAATGATGACAGAAGTGAGAGGTGGTAACCAAGTCTCTGTTTTTGATGGTTCATCACTGCAGTGCATTGCAGGTATTTGAAAAGCCTAGATGCAATCTGTCACCTCGGTTAATTTGGTCCCTAAAAGTGGAGTACTAGAAACTGCCTCTTGAGGAAGGATACTTAGTTTTCATTAGTTTAAAAGTAGGATGACTGAAAGCCCAGATACTTTGTAAAAAGACAAACCATCCACCTCAAGATCAAAACAGAATGAGAAAACTAATTTCATCTTTTACCAGCTATGTTGAAAGTTGTGAAGAACAGTAGGATGGGTGCACCAGTCTTACAATGTGTGTAATGACTGATACTTGAAAATCCTTTTTTGAAGTTGTTACTGTCACCATTGTCTTGCCTCTCTCAAATGCTGTTTTCTTGTTCGTGCATACACAGTTGCAAATGGGAGCTCTAAAAACAAAGGAATTCATGCACTTCTGTAATCCAGTGCACAGACCCAGGAACTTTCTAAAGCAGGTTGCCTGCGAGCAACAGGAATCCTGGCAGCCTTTGATTCTGCATTCAGCTGATTCCTCCTATTGCAGTGAACGTCTGAGCCTTACCTCTGCTGCAGGGGCACCCTGAGTAAGGGGAACACAACAGCAGAAGCAGTAGCTGGGTTGTTTTCATGCTGGCACTTGACTGTTCAGGATACACAGGGCAATAACGTTTTCCATTTACCATATTTGGGCTAAGCCTAGTTGGTGAGCTTTGTCCCAGTCAACAGTGCTAGCTCCCTCAAAATTAGATCTTACGGGCCTATTTTGAGAAGTTCAGCTCTTGTGGCAGGCGCTGACGCATGATTCTCCCCTGGACTTTTAATAGGCTGGTTTTCTGTGCATTGTCCAGAAGGACAGAAAGCACTTCAGACGTCCACTGTCAGTTAACACTTACCTTACGTGCAGTGTGGTGTTGCTAAATCACAGGGGGGTTTGCCCTGGTTAGCCAAGTCGCTATAGTGTTTTCAAAAAAATTAAAAACCAGACTACAAAAAAACCGTGCAAACAAACAACAAAACACAAACCACAGTGCCCTAATTTTATAAGGAGAAATTTTCATTTTAGATATTAGTGCTTCCTGTCTTAATTTTGATAGAGGGTGTTACCATGGGGTGCAGCATGATGGCTTATTGAAGCTCTGAACGGAGGTGTATTTTCCTCTTTGCCTTTTGGGCAACGTGGAATTAGCAATAATGAGTTGCTGCTATTACAGGGTGTCCCAACGTCACTGTTGTGCACCAGTTTCAGTAAGGTGGCAGAAAATTGTCCACCCATTAGAGAGTGTATTGGAAGCCACCACTTTTTTTTACACTAGTTTTTCATCACCCTCCCTCCAAACTTACTAAAAGTGCTTTCTGAAAGACTGTGCTCTTCATGAGTGAGAGACTCATGTTCAGTTTTGTGGTGCCATCCAGGCACACGGGCATTAGCAGAACTTTTCTAGACAGAAATCTTGAGTTGATGGCATGCTTCCACTCTTAGAAGCCTAAAGGTAGACTGTGTTCTGCTGTTCTATTAGTATTGGTGGTCAAGTGTCTGAAACCCCTTTTGGGTGCAGTTATGAGAGTGTGAAAGCTTCTAGTTGTGGTAAGCAAATGGCTGCCTTTTCAGGTTGCAGCATAAGCCCGAGTACTCCAAGAGCAAGCGTGCTTGCCACAGATGGGAGTGTTGATTGGCTAAGGAAAATGAGTTGTCATTAAGCAGAAATGTATGTGTTGGGAAGAAATAGAAATTAGAGAAGCTTTTTAAAGCTGCAGGGAAGAATGGTAAACTGAGCTAAGAAGTATCCTATTAATCAGTTGCAGATCAACTGTTTTTGTGGAAGTAAGTAAGTATAGACAATAGTCATTTATTCTGAAAACGCCATTTTTTTTCTTGCACAAAAAAAGTATGTCTGCAGCAACCCCAGCTATGCTGCCTATAAATGAGTACTCCCTGGGACGGTTGTCAGGGTTGGCCTTGGGGGCGGGGCCCTGCCACAAGGCAGCGTGGCCGTGCTCGGGGGAGCTGCCTGTGGTTCACTTGCCCTGGCTTTGTGCTCTGTGCTCGATAGGCTACGTGTGGGTTTTTTCACCTCATGTCATTGTAATAGGTTTTACAGACTGCTGCCCTCACACAGCCCATTCTTACTGTAGAAACTGACATGGCCTACTGGTACCATATGAATGTTTTTTAGAAGAGAAGTGTTATTTTACGTTTCTTAACAGCTCCGTTTCCCAACAGCTTTGTAAAATGTTCTTTTCATATGGACAGTTTTTCTTCAGATACTATGCCTTGTCTAGAGCTAGTTATTTCATTGAACCATAGAAAGGTCACCTAGTCCATCCCCCCTGCAATTGGCAGGGACACCTTCACCTAGATCAGGCTGCTCAGAGCCCCGTCCAGCCTGGCCTTGAATGTTTCCAGGGATGGGGCCTCTACCCCCTCTCTGGGCAACCTGTGCCAGTGTTTCACCACCCTCATCGTGGAAAGTTTTTTTCCTTGTGTTCAGTCTGAATCTACCCTCCTTTAGTTCAAAACCATTACCCCTTGTCCTGTCGCAGCAGGCCTTCCTAAAAAGACTATCCCCATCTTTCTTGTAGGCCCCCTTTAAGTACGGAAAGGCTGCAATAAGGTCTTCCCACAGTCTTCTCTTCTCCAGGCTGAACAACCCCAGCTCGCTCAGCCTTTCCTCACAGGGGAGATGCTCCATCCCTCTGATCATTTTTGTGTCCCTCCTCTGGACCCGCTCCAACAGGTCCATGTCCTTCCTGTGCTGAGGACCCCAGAGCTGGACGCAGGGCTCCAGGTGGGGTCTCACCAGAGCAGAGCAGAGGGGCAGGATCCCCTCCCTCGCCCTGCTGGCCACGCTGCTTTGGATGCAGCCCAGGGTACAGTTGGCTTTCTGGGCTGCGAGAGCACATTGCTGGCTCATGTCCAGCTTTTTGTCTATCAGTACCCCCAAGTCCTTCTCCACGGGTCTGCTCTCAATCCCTTCATCCCGTATTTACCTTAGGAGTTATTTTGCATTCAGTAATTTTGACTGTGAGATGGTGCTGAGGAAATGACCAAACAGCGTACTGTTTGCTGCTAGAAGAGCATAAGCATTGGGGTCATTTTGTGAAACTTGTTACAGTGACTTGGGCCAAGCTGAGAAGTAAGTTAAGAGAGACGAATGCATAACAAACTACAGTGGGTATTAGGTTGCAGTGTAGGACCTGTGTGAAGACTGAGCTTGTACGCATTACTGTAAGCATGCAACTGAGTTGGTAGAGTGGTCCATAGACTCTTGAGTGGCACTGGAGCAGTGCCACTGTCTCACTGGCTCTGCCAACTAAAGAACTGAGGGCTATCAAAAAAATAAAAAATAAACACACCCCACCCCAAAACCTGTGATGGTTCTTGAAGCAGCAAACTTGTGAATCCCCCAAACCTGTATGTTTTTCGAGGGAAGTCTGAAATACTTGAAAGAAAAATCTACTAGGAATTACAAAAAAGCCCAGAAAGTCCTCTGACTAGTATTAGTTAGAGGCTGTGAAGATAGAAGACAAGAACAGGACAAGCATTTGAACATAGCTTCAAGGAAATGCCTGATGGAGAAATTTACTGTTAAACAGAAACAAAGGTTAAGAGATATGGCTGTTCTTACCCTTGGCTTCTAGCTAAATTGAACAAGGTTGGAGAAGGAACCATTGCTTTGGTCCCAGGTGGGCTCAAGCAACTGAATTATTCAGTGACATGATGTGGCCAGGGATACAAAGTTTTCCCTCACTCTTTTTGTGCAGGTAGCATAATCCGTTGCATGAGAAGGCTAGAAGAATTGCTTCGGCAGATGTGCCAGGCTGCAAAAGCCATCGGGAACACAGAGTTGGAAAATAAGTTTGCAGAGGGTATGTATTTCACTTCCACAGTATAAGAAGTCATTCTAGAAAGCATGTGAAAGGCACATTTGTGGGGGGCAGGTATGACAGGGTGTGGGTGAATGACTTAAAGAGGTAGTGCTTTGATGCATACTGATAAATTAACCAAGTTTGTGACTGAAAATGGATGTACAATGATGTCTATTTAAGACTTGTAACAGTTTCTCTACAGCAAAGTGTTATATGCCTGTAACTGTAGTTAAAATCGGGATATTAATACAGTTTTCCTTTTTAACAGGGATTACAAAAATCAAGAGAGATATTGTGTTTGCTGCAAGCCTTTACCTGTAACAGAAGGTATCGTCTAAAAACAGTACTAGATTCACATCATGGAACAAGTTCATCTCAAGTCATTATTTCTTTTAATGGTGTGTATTTAAACCACAGTTGTTTCAACAAGGCATGTACAAACAGCAGTCTGTGTAATATAACTGTTACTGTGTTTTCAATAAAAATTGACAATTTGAACAGCTTTTTTCTTTTAAGGAAGAGCTTGAACCAACAGAAATTTAAAGTTTAGATATACAATAACTGTGGTAGATGTTACTATATACAGGTAAAGTGAGCATCCAAGAGCAGCAACAGTCCCTTAAAGGCGTTTACTTATATTACATAGTTAGACTTGTGAAATTGTTTTCCTTTCAGAGCGCAAGACAGGTGAGGTGGGTCATTCTTCATGGTTGATGATTGCTGCCAAAGTGATTCCCATTTGTTGGAGTCTCGTGTCGGGTTGTGTGGGAATATTGGGTTGTGTGGGAATCTTCTTTTGGTTGAAATGTACATCCTCTCACTTTGAAGAAGTCAGACACGTACGCAACCTAAGTGAACAAATTAGTGTTAAGCTCCTGCACTTCTAAGTCTTTGAAACAAGGGGTAAATGCTTTTGCAGAAGGTAAATTCCATGATCAAAACTAATAAAAAGTTTAAAGAGATTAAAACATTAGAAAATTATTAGGAAGTCTTGTATAAAATTCTGGCATCTGTTCTTTTAATAGCTTTTTCTCCAGCTATTACCCCCCCTCCCATTGACCAGTTAGCCACTGATGGCGTAAGCCAAATTCAAGGCTCGTGTGCTGACTAACTGCTCTAACAACTGCCTTATCAAGTACTGCTTCGTTACAATAGCCATAGTTTTAACAGCTCTAAATGAAGGAGCAAGATACCCTTGCTGAGGGCCCACGTCACATGTATGGTTAAATGTATTCTGTCATTTATTTAGAACAGGGCAGGAGAGCTTGTGCTTTAGCTGAGGAAGAGGGTTCAAGGTTAGTAACTATTATTCTCTGGAGTGTCACTCTCACTTGCATTTCTTTAAGAGCTGGTTAAACCAAGCTTGGATTCCTCTCCTTGGCAAGGTTCACAGCAGCTCCCTCCCCAATAGATGTGTCTCGCCCACGGCTCCAACAGCTCTAAGGCCAACTCTACCGACATTATCCTTTCCTGCATTCCTTTGAACATACCACCTCACTTCCTTCACAGCTACCGACTACGACACAGGTGCCTTGGTCCAATTCTGCAGCTTGCTCTCTTCCCGCTGCCCACTTCACAAAGTCACACTAGTAGATGCGCTGGGTGCAGGGCTGCATGAAGCGCAGTAAGTGAGAAGCCTTCTCTCACGATGCCTTCCCTTCCCACATCACCTCCACTGCAAACCTGAGAACTGCAGAACCCAGTTTAGGGCAGCAGAAGAAACCATCTCCCACACCGCGGGCTGGCTGATGACCCAGCATGCTGCTTCAGCTGCATACCAGATGAGTTTCAGTTTCCACTTAATGCTGAATTCACTCAACTCAATTTAGTGCTCCATTTGCAGTTGCTGCCCCAGCACGCTCTTACCTCAGCTTTCTGTTTCCGGAGGTGAACTCTTCAGTTCTTTCCGATAAGGATTTTGTTTGGGGGGGGTTATTTTTAGAAATCATTTCCTCACCTTTCAACTCTGTTCACTGTAATGCCACCTTCTACTCATTCTTGTATTACCAAGCATCTCTAAGATATCCTCTCAAACCATCCAACACCCTTCACTAAACTTGTTTTCCTAATAAACGTGCCCTCAGCTCTTCAGTCCTTCACGTTTCTCATTCCCTGCACTCCTATTAGAAAATAAGATTGTACAAAAATGAGGGGTAGGATGATGTTTTAGTCAACACACAGCCACTTAATAACAGCTAATGCAGTATGTAGGGTTTCCCAGAGCTGCTCCAAGATTTGTTTTGATGACTGACTACAATGAGTAAACAAAGCTTTGTCCTGAAATGAACCATACCCTTCTGACTTTCAGCTGGGAAAGTGGAAAATCTTGGAAGTGGTTCTTTCAGGTGAGCCTCAAGTTCTTGGTAACTGAATCCTTCAGTATGACCTCAATTAGCTCATGTCTCTGAAGCAGAAGTCTCTGATCTCTCACTTCCCATGGATGAATCAACCATGGCGCTCTGGTGATAGCCAGCACAGCTGCTGCCACTAAGGCAACCAGGCCTGCAGCTCCAAGTTTAGCTGATTCTGTTTTCTGGGATAGCTTTTCGCTCATCAGTACAGCTAAGCTTCACTTGCTCGTTGTTGTGAACACCCTTTTAGCACTCAAAATGCACACAAGAAATGGTGAAGGATTTTAGTTTCCCATCAGACTGAAAAAAAAAACCAGGCTGTATAAGCTGGCGGAGGCAGACACTTCCATGCTGTCCTTATCCATAAAGGCCTTTGGTTTTTTTGCCCTGCTTACCTCATACACCGTCCTCCTTGGCTACTGTACTTGAGATTTAGAATTTGGCTACAAACAAAAGGTATGGTCATATAGAGGCCTACACGGTTTTGCAGTTGACTGTTTCCATCTCAGTTATTTGAAGAGCCCTTGGGCAGGGACAATTTCATGTGGAATAACAGCTAAACCAGCCACTTATCTGACCATTGGCCCAGAGTCTGCCTCACTCCCTGAAGTACTATTGCTACACCCAGTTCAAGGAGTTGTCTCCCTTCTCCAGCAATTTTCAAAGCATTAGGAAGACAGGTCTGCTTTCCTCTGAACACAGCCTGCAATTCTTAGATACTGTTTATAAAAGCAGTGTTTACGTACACTCCCCAACCCCCTCCCCTCCTCAGGAATTACTTACAATGAGCACAGCTACCACTGCTCCCTGAATGAGTCCTGTTAAAACGTCACTCCAATGATGCTTGTAATCAGAAACACGCGAGAGACCCACATAGATAGATGCAGCAATAAGACCAAATTGTAGAGTAGGACGTACAAGTCTTGCCCAGTCTCCTTTCATTCTGGCCTGAAGGTAAAGCTAAAAGGAAAAGAAGAATAGTTATAAAATGCAGTAAATACAGAAGCAGTAATCATGTAAAATTGTATTGGGTCTGTTCAAAGAGCTGAGTTGAAATTCGTGTTCAGAGATGTGATAGTGTCCACAAATGTTCCAAGTATTATACTCTCACAGGTATACTAAGGCAGAGTTTGATAGTCAGTGTTGGTCTTTATGTTTTTATATAAAACTACATAACACTATCATACAGGTACTTGCTGTATTTGTACAAATATGACAAATGACTATTTTCATGATAAAGGTACTGGTAATACCAGAGCCACTTAAGGCTTAGAAAGAATCCAGTGGAAGTCAAACCAGTATTTTACTCCTGCATTATGACAAGGTGACCCGCTTAGCGGGTAACGGAAAGGCTGTAGATGTTGTCTACCTGGACTTTAGTAAAGCCTTTGACACAGTCTCCCACAGCATTCTCCTGGAGAAGCTGGCTGCTCACGGCTTGGATAAGTGCACTCTTCGCTGGGTTAAAAACTGGCTGGACGGCCGAGCCCAGAGAGTGGTGGTGAATGGAGTCTAATCCAGTTGGCGACCAGTCACGAGTGGTGTTCCCCAGGGCTCAGTACTGGGGCCGGTCCTGTTCAACATCTTTATCAACGATCTGGATGAGGGGATCGAGTGCACCCTCAGTAAGTTTGCAGATGACACCAAGTTGGGTGGAAGTGTCGATCTGCTGGAGGGTAGGAAGGCCCTACAGAGGGACCTGG